TAATCTAAGGTCCAAACCCACTACAGATTTCCAAAAGAGAATAGCTGGGGTTGCAGAAGCTTAAAATTGGAGAGGACATCATCTAGTTGAATCCCATTTCATAGAAGAGACAGAGGCCACAGGAGGAAAATTATATTTCCCGGGTCACTATAACTGACAGAACCACAACCTGATTTTCCTTCAAAGTGTGTTTTCTCTGTCCAGCCATTTTAGCAACAGCTCACATCTTGTAATCCAGCCCAATCTAAAGCCCACCTGTCCACTGAGAGTAGTAAGGTTCATGTGGCCTCTCCCATGACCTTCAATAACTAGCCTTGCACACAGATGGGAAAGAACTATGTATCCATCACACTCTCCCTGTTTAACCACTGGGGCAGGAATGCCGGAACTGCTGGACTCCACATTCTCAGGACTTCATCAAAGGAATGCATCTTAAACAGCAACCATAAATAGTGCAAACAAGGTAGAATTCACCTTAGAAAAATGTGATCTATATGAAAATTTTCAAAGAATATTTACAGTGTAGTCAATTCTGCCCCATCATGCCCTGCTAGAATTTACTTTCTGTGGGGCATCTGATGCAATAGAAAGACCACCTTCCTGACCATCTCCTATGTGCAGAGACTTATGGCCCAGAGGGGCTGGGTGAAAAGCAGATCAGATTCCATAGAAAAGTAACCTATTATTTGTAATGCAAATCTTCCTACTCTTCATTGGAATATTTCATTTGGGATATTTGGGAGAACTTAAGGTGAGTTGTTTCCAAAATTTGCTTGCTTGGGAAGTAAAGGTGAGATTTCAATAGGGAAATCATACTGCAGCCACAGGCTGGTTTACATTTCCTCTTGTCTGAACATCATTCAGCAACTATTCAGGAAAGCCTTTACCCAACTCCTCTGGTACACGAGGTGCCTGGTACAAATACAATAAAGCACTTTCATGTGTATCTGAAGACTCTACACTTACTTTGCTTTCTTTTCCATGTGCTAGGTACAGAACATCCCTCAAAAGTTGTTAGTATAGGTTATAGCTATAGCTACCATGTATATTCAGGTTGAACCGTCTTAAAAGCATGAAGGTAATAGATGTTTCCAATTTCAACAGCCCCAGAAGCAAAGCATTATCTATTTCAGGACAGCAGTTGTATTAATCCTTCAACCAGTTTAGCCAGATTTATAGCAGAGGGGCTCTTCTGGTCAGATGGCAGAGGGAGCTATGTATGAAGTATGTGCCATCTTTCCACCCCCATTGCAACCCAATATGTGGAGGAGTGTAGCAGTGGGTGGCATAATTCATTTCAAAGTGGAACCAAAGATATATGAGGAAATCAGCAGCAGTGCCAGCTGATATGATTTAAGACCCTTTAAAAACAGCTGAATTTCTTCACCCTTCTTAAAGCTTTCCCACTTCTTGAGGACTAACAGGTGATTTGTGGTAGAATAATGTAACTGTTACCGTTTGATATGAAGCACAAATGTGTATGAAAAAGCCTTATTCACTAATCAAGAGCTAAGTGAATGATCTCTAATCTCTACCACCTCTACCCATTAGGAGGATAGGGTTACCAAGAGAGCAGCAAGGGATCTTCAGTCCAAGTGAGACCCACAGTCCTTGTTACCATAAGATTTACTATATAAGCAGGCAAAGCAGAACACTGGTGGCAGCAGAATGGAAAGGGACTGAAACACCAAGGGATAACCTATGTAAGTATAGCTTAGTTCATTACTGGGACAAGTTAAACCAATACAATATCTTTGACTCTTCATTTATGTTCTTGTATCATTGATACATTTCCCCCAGTCACTATATCTCATTCTCTTAACATGAAATGGTTAGCAATCAATTAATCAAGAAAATGACTTGAGGGCTGGGTTCATGGCTCAGTGGTAAAGCGCTTGCCTAGGATGTGTGAGGCACTGGGATCGATTCTCAGCACCGCCTATCAATAAATAAAGGAAAGGTCCACCAACAATAAAATTTAAAAAAAAAAAGACTTGAAACTTTTTACTAAGGTTAGAGTCCATGTTGGACAACTGGGGTTCCATTTCCAATGCTCTGCTGTGCCATTTGTCACTTTTCTACCACTGCCAGCTGAGTCTCTGTCTTACATTTTCACTAGCGGGAGGTCCCTGAGGCAGAGTTTAAGGGATATAGTTAATAAGATTTCCCCATCACAATATGCTGCCCTACTGTGCTGCTTTAGGGTTGGAATGTTTATATCAGGTGGCTTTTTTCTCCTTCTGGACTCTTCAGTAGTTGAGCAATGATGTAGAAAAGCATGCCACCTTGGTTTGCTGGTTACTAGTTATGTTGACCCAGAAAAGGAGCCATATTCTAGGATGCTATTGAGACTCTTGGACAAAGTAGCTCAAAGCACCAAGAATAAACCCAGGAACGGCACAAAAAGAATTAATGTTTACCTGAGCAGGCACCAATAGGAGATGAACTTGCTTATGTTGTTGAACAGGTTTTTCTCAGAAAAAGTCACCTTAGCATCAGAAGATTAATTGCGTGACTATCAGAGTACAATCTTTTCAAAACACTTTACATTAAGTCTTTGTGTTCCATCAGATTTTACACTAAAAAGATGAAACTGTAATCAAGCAATTTTTTAAAATAAAAAAGCAGAGCCATAGTTTGATTCTACCATATCCCACAAAAGCTCTACTTTTGGGAAAACAGTCAATAGATGTACATAATTAATAAACTCTTGCTGTAAAATACTGGAAAGCAGAAACAATGATTTACAGAAGTGATCAACAAGAAAAACAATCATTATCAGAGTCCACACCTTTCAGGTGGTAAAGGCCATGCTAGGTATCTGTGGGCAGTTGATTTCACTCAGTCATTTTTCAAATTCCTGGACAACCTTGATTATTTATAAAAGGCTCATGGTGGCATGTGCCTGTTGTCCCAGTTATTTGGGAGGCTGAGGCAGGAGTTTGTGTGAACCCAGGAGTTCAAGGCCAGCCTGGGCAGACTACATCCCAAAAAAAGAAAATGAAGGAAGGGGAAAAAAAGTAAAATGGCTCAGTTACTACCTGGAATTATGTATGTTAGTCTAAATACCTCTAAAGTGAGCTGGTTATTCTAATTCAAATACAGAATAAACTATAGCAATAATTACACTTTTCAAGAGCTTTCGTTATAAGAGCCCACTAGATCCAGCAACTGTAATCCAGACTTTAAAAAAAAAAAAAAGAATTCTGTGGAGTTTATGAAAACTCATTCACTATTTTTTTCAGGAGTTGAATAAGTGTGGAAGGGACTAAAACCAGAGCATCAACGTCAGAAAGCAGCAATATTTGTGATTCCTCTCCTTTCTTCCCCACCTCAAATACCTCATACAGCAATCCAAAAAGAGAGAAAAAGCTGTAGAGGTGTGTGAAAATTATAATCTATTTTGAAGATTTCTCTTCTCTTTTCCTACTGTAATCAATTTTTTAAAATGGTAATTCACAGACCCTTTAAGACTCCTGTGAAGAAGAAGAATCTGGTATCTGTTCTTTCCAAGTCCACATAATGAAGTAGTTCACTAGCAAACACACACAGTAAATTAAAATTCTGAAAAGGTGGATATCACAGATTTGACCTAGTATCAAGACTCCTCCCTGCCGTTCCAGGCATCCTCTTCTTTCCAAACTTCAGCATTAGCAGACAAGTAAAAGCAACAATTGTTACCTCCTCCAAGATCACCAAAATTCACCTTTCCAAAGGCACAAAATATTTTCAGGAAGTTTAAAAAACTGATGTTAAAATAGCTCAGTACTTTTGTGCAGTTAAAGCATTAAAAGCATCAGCCTGTTTTTATTTTGTGACAAGTTTATTGAACAGTATTCAGACTTCATCTTTATAAACAAAAGAAAATCTGCTGAATGATGCCAAGGCAGTATTTGCTGGCAATGCTGGGCACATATGGTCTATGAGCCGTTTTACTGTGTGTAGTTTCTAAAGTTTGGATTACTAATAGAACTGCCAGTAAAACAATTTAAGTGTGGCAAATTTTCTGAAGGTGGGAAATAATTTTTAAAGCAATCGCTGCCAGAAATTCTCTCCAAGAGGTTTAACTACCAGCGACTTTTACATTTCTTGTTTTTTTAAGTGTTCTCAAAATTAAGTGAATTTTCTTTTTACACACTTGACCCACACCTGTGCAGAATCATAGAATCCAGAAAAATGGAGTGAGTTTAAGTCATGCTTCCTCATTTTTATGCTAGGTGACTCTTTCTACCTAAAAAGTACATGTTTGATTACTTCCGTACAGTCCCAGATTTTCATCTGGTGAGTTAAGACTGACCTTAACTATATTAAATATTATTACTATTTGAAATTCTGAATAACAAGTTTTCTAATTGAATTTTCATTGTCAATGTTTTGACAACTTGGAATACAGAGTCAGGAACTACATTTCACTTAACACTGTGTTGCATTAAAAAACAAAAACAAAAACCAGCCACTAATAATTGTATATCCAAGCTACAGTGTAAAAACAGAACATACCTCTAAATTAGGCTTGTAAACTAAATCTTTCACTAAACTTCAGAAAAGTTACAAATTTGCTTATTTATAAAATACATTTTTCGTAGTTTCTCTAATCCTTTAAACCCAAAGAAAAATGAACAATAAAAACTCAGTAGGAGGAAAAAAAAATTAAACCTAATGGAAAAGATGCTCTTCCATTAATGTCAAAGTCACCGAACACAGACAATAAAATTTACACATAAAAATTGAGAATACCATGATAGTGTTTACAAATGCACACAACTTTGAGCAAAACTTTACAATCCTTCATACCATACAAAGCAAATAAGAAAATAATATAAATTCAATTCTACACCAAACCTAGTTCTTAGGAGAAAATTTGTAAGAAGAGATGTATGGATAGTTTCACAGAAGATTTTCAAGAATTTTTCAAACCTGAAACTCCAAAGCCCAGAAGATAAACAGTATGCTTAGCAGTTAGCACTATGTTAATAAGTCTCAGATACACAAAAATCAAGTTCCAAGACAGCAAAGCATTTAATTACATTTCACAACAAACACTGTTGTGGCTCAACGAAATATGAAACATAGTTCTCTCCAATTGCTACACAAACCACTATTAAATTTATTTAATTTGATGAACAATGAAATCAAATTCTCCTTTTCAGCATTTACCTAAGATGTAGAAATAACAAAGTAGGTGCAATAAAGTGTATGAAATATTTAATAAGAATGTACGAGCACATTTAACCAAAATAAATTGTGAAAAAAGGACTTTCATCTTCAAACAACCCATTTTTTTTTTTTCTAAAATGAAAATAGTCAGCTTTCCAACGGGGAAAATAATCTGTGGTTGAAACAAGACTCCCAAGCAGCACTGAAGTTTTTCCCATTGTCTTTGGAATGAGAAAAGATTACTTAACAGCTTAAATTGAACAGCATAAACAAATATTATATTGCTTTTTAAATTGAGGAAGCAGTATCTAGTGATCTATCATATCAAATTTGTGTTTGTGAATTATCAAAAAGACCCACAACACAGCCAACTCTTCTTTGAGTTTGAACAATCCTTTCCCTAAAACAAAATTCCTGTACTGTCATCCTCTGATTGTACACAATCTTCACAAGTGAAACTGTTGCTACTCTAAATTAAGGGCGACGCTTTATTTCAGTGTTCTACTGATTTGCAACACCAAAAAGGCACTACATAATTTTTAATAGGATATACTTCTTTTAAAGGTCAGATCTCTATAAGTACATTGATTTGTAGGAAACGTTGGAGATGTTTTAAACCAAGGCAAGAGAGCAATGTAAAAGATAAAAATTTGTTTTTCATGATAATTCTCCAATCTTCCATTCTGTACATTAACAATATAATGTGACATATCTTTAGATATAAGGGGGGAAAAAAGCCCTAAATAGAGGCTATGTGGCAGTGAGCAGGACATTGCAAGATAAATATTTTTATGACTAGGACACGTACCAACCAGAAGCTATGTGTCCTGAATGCCCAAGAAACGAATATAAAAGGGCAAGGAGTCTTAATTTGCTCCTCTCTGGCAGCTAAACTTTTACTCTGCATAAAGAATTTTTGAGAACAAGGCTCCTGATTAAATAACTATACCAAAAAGCCTCTAAATTAACAGGATTAAACACACATAAACCTCTGGACCAGCTAATGAATCTTTTATTCTATAATGGTATTGCTAACAATTTCAACTTCAGTTTTAAAAGACTAGATTAATATAATGCTCTTTCTAATGAATAGATCCCTCTTTGTATGCTTTCAGGCAAAAATTTCACTGAAGTTGGGACAAAAGGGAATTGCTAGAACAATCATCTTAAACACTGGTTACTAAAAGTATTTTCTGGTTTCAATGCCACCCAAACCACATAAACAATTTTTAAACTTACTAAACTAAAACTTGGCGGTTAAACCAAAAAGGCTCTGGTAGGTAGAGGACTCCATAGTTTATTTTTATGGCAAAAGTCTTATTTCACACAGTTTTAAGTGTGTCATTAGAAATCAAAAGTTCAGGGTTATAGCACAAACCAATTGTGGAGTTTCATATTTAAAGAAAAAACCCAACAAAACAGTTCTGCTCATTTACAAATGAGTCAATTAGGCAAGCAAAGCAGCAACGTCTGAAGCAGGACTGTCCATACAGCAAGAATCCTCAAAGAAGCAATAAAGGTACATACAATGAATCTGTATACAGAGATTTTATTCAATTTTAAAAGAAAATGAAGACTTTAGACAAAGCTTTGACCCTATAACAAAGCACATCTGTCCAGCTTTAAACCAAATTCCAAGAGTAGCCAACTTCTATATTTTAGTAGCTGGCAGGAGCACCCTCAATGAGCTCTACTGACATTGCTATTTTCTTCATCCCATATATTATGAAACAAAACCAATCTAGACTCCTTGATAAACTTTATGTGGTCATTGAGTTTTTACAAATGGTTTCTCTAATAGTATGCCAAAATCATTTTTGTGTTCTCTCCAGATAACTTTACTGTAACATACAGCAATGTTCATCCTGGTAGTGAGCTGTAAACAGTCAACCAATGCTTTTGTTATGGAAACCAATCTATATGCAATTGAAACAATCCACAGGTTCTAACCTGAAAATACTAGGAAAACAATCTGGATGCATTGAACACAGCAATATGAAGATCTACCCTATAAAGAACTGATGTGAATGGCTATCCTAATACAAGTTTTACTTTTCTTGAGCCTATAGGCCTGTCATTTAAGTCAATGACAGCAGCTGTGGCTTCGTCTCGAGATTCAAAGGCCACCATGGCTTCACCCGTGGGCATACCTTTTTCGTTGTATTTTAAGCACACTGAGCCTGGGATTACTTGATAGCCATAAAAGAAATCTAAAATCTCATCAATAGACACAGTGAAGGGCATGTTCTGCACTTTAATTACTGTAGGTCCTGGTTTCCCAGAACTAGATCCAAAGCCAGGTGGACCACCAATATGGATTGGGCCAGGGCCAGGGCCAAAGGCTGGCGGTCCACTCAAATGCCCAGGGGCACTTCCAAGACCAGGAGGGCCACTTCCAAAGCCAGGGGGGCCACCTAAGCTACCAGGACCATTTCCAAAATTCTGAGGGGCCCCTCCAAATCCCGATGGCCCACTTAAAGTATTCGGTCCACCTCCAAAACCAGGAACTTCCAATCCTAGACCAGGCAAACCACTGTTTCCAACTGAAGGCATACCAGGCCTAGCATCACCAAAGGCCCCTCCTAATCCTGGAGGAGGCAGTGGTGGCCCAAAGGCATTTGATCCACCAAAATTACCAGGGAAATTAAATGGAGGTCCATTGTTGGCCTCCTTTGATCCTACTGTCAGGAAAGCATGTTCTTCACCTCCGGCACTGGGCATTCCTGCACCAGGCATTCCCGCAGCAGGCAGGCCCGCACCAGGCAGTCCTGCAGCGGGCATTCCCGCACCAGGCATGCCCGCAGCAGGCATGCCAGCGCCAGGCATTCCCGCAGCAGGCATTCCTGCAGAAGGCATGCCCGCAGCGGGCATGCCAGCGCCGGGCATGCCCGCAGCAGGCATACCAGCAGTGGGCATGCCTGCAGCAGGCATTCCAGCACTAGGCATTCCTGCACTGGGCATTCCTGGTACTGCAGGATTACCCGGCACAGGCATCTTTAGGCCCTTTTTTCCTTGAGCAGGGGGATTTTTCTCAATCTCCCTCATATCTTCTAGGGTAACTACATGAACAAAGGCTTCTCTCCCATTAAGTTTTTTACGGTGTAAGTGTTCAGACTTACGTGCATCTTCTTCATTTTTAAACTGAACCAATGCCTGTCCTAGACCTTGCCCATTGTTATCAACAAGAACATGTACTGCATTTTCATCCACTGGGATTCCTTCCAGAAACTGCAGAACATCCATCTTGGTAATGCTGAATGGAATATTTGTTATGTGGGCACAGACTTTGGCAGAGTTGACATCCCCCTCTGGATTTAACATCATTTCTCTCTGGTCATAGCTGAAGTTCTGGAGTCTTTTTCGAATCGTATCTATCTTTTCTAGCATACCTTTCTTAGTAATTGGATGAACTTGAATAAAGCGATTGCCCATGTATTGTTTATGACGACACAGAGCAGCCTTATAGTCAGCCTCATTCCTAAACTCTACGAAGCCTTCACCAGTTGCTTTCCCATTGGGTCCATAAGCTATATAAATACTATCTTCCACAATATCCAACTTTTTAAAAAAATCAATGACATGTTTGTTTTCTGCTTCAAATGGCAGCCCTTTCAAGTAAACACAAAAACCAGCCTCATGTGGTGATCTTGACCTTGACCTTTTCTGCCCACTGGGCGATTTTGACCTGGGCAGTGTCTGAGGAGGGGGATGGGTTTGTCCAGAAGGTCCCATACTTTGTTTAAAAGTGATATGTCCTCCAGCAGCTACCCACTGTCTCTCTGTGGCAGGGCTAACTTCCACATAGCGTTGAATCATCAGCATTCTGTTTCGTTTCAAAGCTTCAAATGTATCTTGAGGGGAGAGAAACTTAACCAATCCATTCCCATTATTTCGGCCTACATGATCTTTCAATAAATGCACCGCATCAACACGGAGCCCATGGAAAAATTCTCTGACATCATTTTCCATTGCAGAAAAGGGCATTCCATGAACACTGACATACAGATCATCAGGGTTGATGGGAAGAGGCTTCACGCTGCTTTGAGAGTTCATCTGGATAGGGTTAACAGGATTCAATGGACCCAAAAACATAGGGTTCAGGTTATTGTTCAGATTTATAGGTGCTCCAGAGCCATTCATTCCAGCAGGTAAAGGTGCCACGGGTGGCGGATTCAAGGGTGGCATGCCTGACATGGGTGGCAGTGGGGTCATGGGTGGCACAGAAGGGACTGGTGGAATCGGGGGCACAGGAGGCACAGGGGGCAATGTAGGTACTGGAGGAGGAACTGGTATTGGGGGAATGGATGGCATTGGTGGCAAAGATGGCATTGCTGGGATCGGAGGAATAGGTGGTGGTGGGACTGTGTTCATTGGAGAGGCTGTACTTGGAATGGTCGAGCTGAATGTTGGGCTCCCAAAAGAAGCCCCCATACTTGGAGGAGCAGTTCCTACGCTGGCTGTGGAAAATGTCTGTATGTTTTTGTTGCTTTCATGAACAGAAGTGGTAGCAGTAACTACACTTGGTGAAGGATTATTAAAGTTGGGTACTGTTGTAGGCAAGTTTACCCTGCCACTCATTCCTGAGCTAGGTGGTGGTCCTGATCTACTAGCATTTGCTGGTGGTATATCTAGGTTGGCAGTTTCAAACCGCCTACGACTCAGTTCAATCATATTCTGCATTTCCGTTTTACTACTCAACAATAGTGTTACTTTTGACCCTTTAATTGTACCACCTGTGCGCATCATACCAAGCCTTGCATCTTCATCAGTGGCAAAAACGATGAAAGCCTCACCCAGTTCACCCCCTACAATATGCACGCCCCCATCAGGGATGGTCAATCCAGAGAAGAAGTGGCGAATGTCCATGGTCCCCGCCACAATTGGGAGACCTTGCAAACGGATGACCACAGCCATGCTGCGCGCGCTGAAACCACACACACCTGCAGATGAGAAAAGGCAACGGCCAGGTCAGACTCCTGTTTATCACATGAAGTTTTTAGCTGCAAGAATGACCAACTACCATATTAGGCCCTCGAACAGTCCCTCAGGCTAACACAGGCATCATCTTTTTTTAAATTTAGAGATTCTAAATTTAAATGTTAAACCCAGACAATTTCAATTTCCAAAAGAGATTAATTCTGGAAACAATCAGATGTTCAGTCCTAAGATTTGAAAATTTCAAGAAAAAACAACAGGACAGTACAAAATCACCATAACATCATTCAGACAACTAGCCCTTAAGATTTAAAAGAAATGTGTATATCAAATCAGGAAGCCAAGTTTAACAACAGGTAGGGGAAAAAAATCATACAAAGGACACATTAAATATTTAAAACTATTTAGCATCTTCCCTAGAAACTTCATAATTTCAAAGAATTACCAGAATGTCCTTTTATAGGGTTCCATCTCAAAATCCAAATTAAAAATTGGAATGCTCAAGTCTCAAATGAGAACCAATTTCATTTTTCAAACTAAAACTTAAATCTTTTCTTCGGGGAAGGGAGTGGGGGCACACTGTGGACTGAACCCAGGGCCTCCAAATGCTCTACCACTGAGCTATTTTCCAGCCCTCCTTTTGTTTTTAAATTTTTTATTGTGAGTCAGGGTCTTGCTAAATTGCCCAAGATGGCCTCAAACTTCCAATCCTTATGCTTCAGCATCCTGAATAGTTGGTATCATAGGCATGTGCCCACACACTCAGCTCCTAACACTTTTCAATCACACACACACACACACACGGAAACCAAAAAAATAAAAACTCGTTATATGCAAGTTTACATTGCCACTCATTCCTGATCTAGGTGGTGGTCCTGATTTACTAGCAATTGCTGGTGGTATATCTAGGTTGGCAGTTTTGAACCTAAAAATAACATTTTTTTTTTGGGGGGGGGGTTCTGTTTTTATACTAGGGATTGTACCCAGAGGCACTTTACCAAATGAGCCACATCTCCAGTTCTCTTTTTTATTTTAAGACAGGGTCTCACTAAGTTGCTTAGGGGCTCACTAAAGTACTGAAGCTAGCCTTGAACTTGTGATCCTCCCACCACAGCCTCCCAAACTGCTGAGATAACAGAAGAGTACAACTGTGCCCAGCACAATCTGCCTTATAACTTTATTTATAAAGTTAATCTATGTATGGAATTACTTATTATAAACATGGCTAATACATATTAAGAATAAAAAATAAATACTAGGGTGGCCTCAAGCTTGAGATTCTCCTGCCTCAAGCTTCTGAGTAGTTGGGATTCCACGTGTGTGCACATTACCTGGTTTAATTCATCACCTTAAAATGTAGAACTTGGGTGCAGCACCATTCACATTGATGCTTTAATTAAAACTCAGGTCCAATGATTCATTCCCAAATCTACCATTAAAGGGGGAAAAACAAGGTCTTGTTTTCCCCCGACAGGGGAGGGCTGACAATGAAAAGGAATAATTTTTTTCGGTTTTGTCTAGGGTGTGAAGTTTACTCAGTAACTGTTCAGTTTCTTACCCAATATAACTCCTGTGGGATCTCTAGTTACTCATGATCTCCTTAAATAATGTCTATTTCAGTTCTAATGGCTTCTAAGAGCAAATGCAAAGGCAGGCTTTTGTAAACTGACACAAACCATATTTATAAGGCTGAAAAAATATTGATTTGAAATTAATGTGAACAAATCAACTTTTCAATATGAGCCTATTAAACTGGCTCCAAAGCCTCAAGGAAGTTATTAATTATTCGTGGTTTTATTACTTCTCAAACAAGGGCATTAAAAGGTCTCGTGTTATAAGGTTTAAGAAACATTCTAGAAAGGAGTTCTTCCATGTCAAGTATTACATGAATACTAATATAATGTAATCAAATCTATAACTATATCTCAATATTCTGACTGCTGCATACAAGGAGAAATAAACTGAATGCAGTGGTATACACTCATAACCCCAGCTACTCAGGAGGCTGAGGCACGAAAACCAGCCTGGGCAAATGGCCAAGATCTCCATCTCTAAAAGGAGGATAAAAAGAGAAATATATTACTTTACTTTGATGGTTTTCTAACACACTTATATACAAAAATAAAAGTGTTGTTTTTGTTGTTGTTTGTTTTTGGCAGTACTAGAGATTAAACCCAAGGCCTTGCATGCACATTCTAGGCAAGTGCTCTACCTACCACTAAGCTACATCCCAGTCCAAAATAAAAGTTATTTTAAAATTTAATCCAGAAAGATGGACTGGCAAACAGAAAATGCTCTTCATGAGATCATCATAAAGCACTACAAATTTGGGGAAGATGGGCAAAGTTTTTCATTTATTTACAAGAGTCAAGAAGAAAAATTAACACTAAAAAAAATTATGCCAACAAACTTTCAGACAATAAAATGGGAACTTGATATGGCCTCAAGTACACAAAAATTAAACACAACGCAAAATGACACACTCATTAAGTCTTTAAACCATTTTCTGCTGAGAAGAGATTTACTGAAAGGCTACACAAGGTTACAATGAAAACATGCTCATCTGCCTCAGATTACAAGCAGGAAAGGGGCTGAGGATTAAATCGAAGAGCACAAGATTTATTCATAAAGACACCTGAAGAGGAAAACAATTTTTAGGTTCTGAAAAATATGAGTTATCATCTGTTGTTCTGCTATTAATAAGCATCTGTTTGATAAGTCATTTCAACCTATCTTGAGTCTAGCTTAGTTAACAAAAAAGTTATATTAAATTTGCTAAGTTTCCATCTAAAACCTAAAATTTGTACTCTAAAACATAACTCACTGTCTATACCTATACCTCCAGGGACTATATATATACATACATATATATATATATACACATACACATACCCATACCAATAACAAGCACCTGTATTTGTAGGTCATCTAGAAAGCTACTAAGGGGGTAAAGTTACTTACTACCTAACAACAAAGAATGTAGCAGGAGAAATGCATCCAGGTAAAACTGGCCCTCAAAGGAAGCAAAACTACTCAAGGTACCCATTTACCCCAACCCCAACCCTCAAATAAATTTGTAAACACACACATACAACAATTTCACCACTACACATATTTTTATGTTCTGTTAACAAAGTATCTCATTTTATTTTTGTATTAAAACAAACCCTGTATTCAAAGTCTCTTACCTGATTAAACAAGAGATGTATTTTCTTAACAAGAAGTAGAGGCCAAGTCAATCCTGTGGGCAACCAATTAAAACCAACTTTTAGACTGCAATAGAGAATAAACGGAGGCAAAAATCAATGCAGGAAACACAAAACAACACGCACAGGCCACACTGAACTGTATATTAAGGCAGCCAGTCTGAAACCACCGGAGAACTTCATTGGAATGCACATGGGGAAAGGGGGGGGAAAGCAGATACCAAATTCCCACATACACTTTTAATTGTACTGCTTTTCAAGCATAGAAGTCTCTCAAAATATCTATATATTTATATGTCTCACAAACGTGTCATGAATTAGCCCAAGAATGAATCAACAGAAACAAAGCTCAGCTTCACAACTGGTAATGATTTTATCACTTGGTGGCAGAACAAGTCCAACCTCTACCTATTTCCCTATATTCCCACAAACTTTGGATGAAAAAGCACCAAGTTCACACAATAATAATTCCTTGGCAAAATAAGTTGTCAACTCAAGGGTATTCATGGAAATTATTGCAACTACTCTTTCAATATAATTTCCTTTGCATCAAAATATCAAAGATCACAAAACATAATGAAAGTTTTGGCTACGATGACCAGTTCCACTGGGGCTCAACATATTCAGGAAAAATACTTTTTTCTCATAACACAACAGTTCCAAAAATCTTGTTTTAAAAATTCCCTAACAATGTCTGACATACTAAGAAACAGATCACTCATCTTTCACTAGAATTTATTCCAAAATGGTACAAAGTTATGTTCACAAGCAACATACATGACCAAATGACAATTACATTCAAAAGGTCACAGTGTGGGTGGGGGGAGTACTGGGGAATCAACCCAGGGGTGCTCTACCAACTGAGCTATATCCTGAGACCTTTCTAGTTTTTGAAACAGGATCTCCCTAAACTGTAAGGCTGGCCTCAACCTCCCAAGAGACTGGGATTATTATAGACTGTGACAATGCATCTGGTTCAAAAGGTCTTTTTTTTTTTTAATTCAGAAGAGGAGAAGAAAAAGATTGCTGCTGTTCAGTATTAAGATCATCAATAGATTGATAAATGATGCTCATTTTTAAAATTTGTTCTAATTAGTTATGACAGTAGAATGACTTTCATTTTTTAATATCTTTCAAGGTTAAGCTATCACTAGTGAGCTTAATATTCATCACCAGAAAGTAAAACCAACTTTAAAAATCCCAAGTGTTATTCCAAACTTGTCTAAAGGACAAGTTAAATGTCTTTGAGTCAACTACTCAAATTGTAGAACAGTTTTGCCAAAAATTATGCAAATGTTATAAACACTTTCAAAAGCCCAGAGCATTGTATTAATCTTTGACATTGTACAAATCTATTCTAATTAAGTCCAAAGGGTTTTAAGGCTCTTCATCTGAAAGCCATATCTAACAATTTATTTAAGGTTCACAAAGAGAAATACGACAGAAAAAAGCAGCTTCAAATAAAGTTATAAAGAAGGGCATGAAATTACTGCAATATTTGTTTCTAAAAGGCATCCACCCTAGCAGCTATAGAAGCAGGGTAATTTTCTAGTTAAGTTACTTGTGAAAAACATTTGATCCCTACTGGAGATTCTAATTCAAAAAGTCTCAATACAATGGAAGCAGATTCCTCAGCCTCTTTCCTTCTAGAACCAAGAAGGCATCTGGAGGACAAATCCAGATCATCTACTCAAGCCCAAAGGAACTTATAAGATCTACACAAAAATTTCTAAAGACTGTTCGAAATTATTTTATTAGGAAAAAAAATTCTCATTCCACAAAGAAAGGTTGAAAACCCAGCTGAATTTGACAAATGCCTCATTTAAGTTGTGTTCAATTTAAAAATACAAAAATCAATCCACATATAAATTTGTGATTCTCTTCTATTTCAGCAAAGAGAAACCCCCATTCCATCCCAAGCCAAAGTATGCAGGAAGTCAAGGTGAAAGGAAAGAAGGTTCTGAGAACTGAAGTATTTTTGTTTCAAAACCATACTTTGTAAAGATCACAATAATTTAACGTGGTATCACTGTTTTTCAGGAACCTGCTCATTCCTATAAGCTAATGAAAGTTAGCAATCTAATGCAGGATTCTAAATTGAAAAATTCATCCCACTCACTTTAAGACTTTAAAAGGACAAGAGAAACAATTCTATGCAACACCCCCCCTAAAAATATGTATTTTACTTATACAAAGACTAGAAGCATAGGCAAAAAGAAAACGGGCCTGGTTTACCAATAATCCACTAATACATTTCAGAAGATCTAAAACAAGCAAGTTTGCTCTAGTATACTTTCCATTTTATACAACACAGACATTAACGCAGCACGACAATTACCTGATTTATACATAAATTACAAATATCTGCTATAAAAATTTAGCATATTATGACAAGATTTTCTGATTTACTAGTTATTCTAATCACTTGGAGTTTCAGGATAAAATGATAAACCTCTTTATCAAGTCTAGACACAAACTAGAACTTGACCATCTACACTCTTCATCTTGTAATAAACACTCAGAAGTGAATATTTACTTTGTTCAGTTAATCTAGGTACTTCATTCAGATCTAAAAGAAACAACACTAATAACAAAAAAACACAGCAACACCTCATTTCACATCAGAGATGAGCAGCAGAAAATCGATTACAATAGGCACACTATAAAGAGTATAATCATAATCACATTATGGAAAGCATTATGAAACTACCACAGCTTCATCCACTTGATTTTATCCCCATCACCAAATGGAGTACATTTAAGATTATGGAATCATTCGTAATGAAAAAATTCTTCTGACACTGATGAAGATGTATTCACTTTATAATACATTGATCAATTTTCCCATTAACTTCCCATTCAGTACTCAAAGGCAGCAAGACTTTAATATTGTTATTTTTGATCCCCCCCAAAAGTCCAAAAATGTTCATTTTCTTACTTCATTTACACTTCAAAGTAAAAATATTCCTAACCTAACCTACCACATTCACCCTCACTGTGGTTTAGGACTGAAAAGCTGGCTTTAAACCAAAACTCTGCAAACCAAAGGGTACATAGAGGGTGGTCTGACAAAACTACACAGTTAAAATTATTATTCTGTTCAGTTGACCTAAATATTTAACAAATATCCGTGAATATTTATTAAGCACTTGTGAGCCAGGCATTAGACATAAAACTTGACAACATTCTCCATGTTTTAGGGAGATAGCTAAAAGCATCGTTTGTGCAGCCAATTACTGATACTTAGTTCTTCCTACACCTACAAAAGAAAACAACCAAACTGAATAATGAAGTGACCCTCTACAAAATGGAATAAAAGCAATACCAATATTGTCACTGGACTCCAGCATCCGGTACACATTGATCTAAATTGTACCAACAACCCCCAAATTCTCATTATGCTGTCGACCAAAATATTTGACATATCAAAGTGAAAAAAGTCTAAAGTGTACTGTAAGAGCACATTATAAGTAACTACCACAATGGTTTCTAAAGCTTTGTATTTTTCACCTACTGGATTTGAATATAAGAAAAATTGAAATTATACATTACAATCATAAACAATGTAACCAACATTTAATCCAACATAAGAAAGTGACATAAAAATGTATTCCCTGTTTTGGTAAACTGCCAAATCATTCATACTAAGCAGATCGTGAACTGTTATATAAGCATACCAAACATTTCATTTCCTTCAAAAAACAATCACCATAGATTTATGTGAATCACCTGTAACAGTTTTTCCAAACTTTTTATTCTTACAAAAATGCACAAACACAAAACTTTCCACCAAATCCAAAAATCTCCATTCCATCAAAACTACCAATTTCAAAAACAAGTACAACCTACATGTCTAGACTTGCAGGATTTTTTTCCAAACGACAAATGCTCTGAAATACATTAACAACACTACTTAACAAGGTCCCAGGCAATTCTTGTTGCTAAGACTGAATTTTCCAAAAATTACACCATTTGAAACCATGCGGGCAAGAAGCTCTAAGATAAACACTCCATTCACAAACCTCTCCCTTCCACAAGCCTTCAGTTGCCACATCCCCCCCACCCACTCCCGAAGGTTATTTTGATTGGCATCATCCTAATCTTGAATGATACAAAATGGCTCCTGCCAGGTTCCCCCATTTACATTCGGTCTTCTCTGGGGACACAGGCGCCAAGCCGAGTTTTAAGGCCAGAAACCACTCCAACCACAGCCTGCAATTCTCAATATACACTACCTAGTTGAATTAATGTTTAGCATTGAATAATCCTAAGTAGCCCACACTATAATTCCTCATATTTTTCACCATAAAGCACACACGGGAGACAAAGTCTATGCAAACCCGCTGCTCTAAGTCCAACCCCGACACTAACCTGTAGATCTTCAAAGGCCCTCCCACCCATTTCACGTGGCTGCAAAGTAGCGCCGCCAAGCTTCAGAGTAACTCAATTAACTGTCCATCGAAAGCATCCACCCTCCACATCTTAACAGGACCTTTTCCTTCATAGTGCCAGAGATTCCCCTCCCAAGGAGCAGTAAAGGTGCTGCTTACAACACTAGCTTTCTACACACGCTAGAGTAAGCCCCTCCTTAGCTCTGGGCCTTGAAAGCACTTCATTATAAGCCCACCTTCAAGCCAGGAAGGCGGCGAGTGCTGAGACTTAACTTCCTGGACTCACAGGAGTGAGCTTCCTCCTCCCTGGTGTGTCCCGACTGTAGTCCCCTTTTGTTGGAAGGCCACAAAGGCCTTCTTTACACTTCAGTTACAAATAATGTCCTCACTACGATCACCTCTCCACTTGGGCAGCGCTGTTGTTATAACCTCTGCTCTATTTGGAGGCAAAGGGAGTCTTCCCCATGCGGGATGTAGGTGTATTTTCACTGCAGTCCCCGTTAGTTCACAGGCCTCCGAGGTACCCAGCTCTGGCTGCCTCCTCTCAGACCACCGAAGGGTTCTCGCTATAGCTTCGTCCCCACTTCGATACGCAGGCTCATCCTTTCTCGCGCCATCCTCGCGTCCGCGCAGGCCGCAGAGACTTAAAGTGAGCCCCAGGAACCCCGCAGGCCAGCCCCAACCCTTTGTGTGGGGCGCTCGCTGCGGCAGGCTCAGAGGCCTCCGAAGGCCCCGCCCCGGGCCATCAAGGGGCGGCTCGAGCCCCGCACAGCCCCGCCCGTTTCGGGGCTGTGGGAGTCTTACCGGGGAGAACTTGCGCGGCACCAGAACCCAGACCCGAGTTACCCCCCGCGCGAGTGCCTCCGCCCCGCGGCCGACAGCCCCAGCCCGAACGGCTTCCCGGAGCCCACCGCAGCCACCACCTCCTACGCCGCTTCACAAAATGGCCGCCGGCCCGCTCAGCGGCCCCGCGTTCCAGGAGGGGGCGGGACGAGGTGGTGACGTTGTGGGGCAGGACTGCGCAGGCGTGCTGAGGTTCTCAGGCGAGCTCCCGGAAGTTGCGGGTGTCGGTGGAGAAGACTTTCGTTTAGTGTTTACAATCTTAGCTCCCAAGCCAGACCTGAGGCAAGCTACCAGTTGGGTGGTATGTAGGAGGTATGTAGGAGGACAAAAGAAGACCTTAGATACAAAATAAGATAAGACCTCTCCATCCCAGGGATTCTGCTTTTTCAGATCCCCTTCTTCCTCCAGGGGCAAGTCTTCTCTGCTATCCTTTAATAAAGCCTTTTACTTTCCACTCTACATTTGTCTCTGCGTGCTTCTCTGGTGTTATACTTCAGAAATCTGGAAGCAAGGACTCATCAGGATAACCATCGGTATCACTTGTATCCTATACAACCTCCTTCCACCTCCACCGGTACCCAGTATTCAGGATCAAACACAGGCCCTTGCCTGCACTAGTCAAGTGCTCTACCACTGAGCTACATTTCCAGCCCCCATACACTGTATCTTGTTGAATATTTCTGTGATTTAACTTTGTATACAGTCCTTGCTTAGCATCTGAACGGCCATCTTACATGAGAGCTGCCATTTAAAGGAAAAAGTTTCCTTTTCCACCCAAGGGCAACGAGTCCTTGCTACCCAATGTTGAAGAATAACACCAGAGAAGCACGCGGAGGCAAGGTCAGAGTGGAAAATTAGAAGTTTAAATATAAATAAATAAATATATATATAAATATATATATATATATATATATTTTTTTTTTAAATATAAATATATATAAATAAATAACTATTTATTTATATTTGTTGGGGTGTGGTGGCACACACCTGTGATCTTAGTTACTGGGGAGGCTAAGGCACTTCAAGGTCAGCCTGCGCAACTTAGTGAGACCCTATCTCAAAATAAAAATTTTTTTCAAAAGGGCTGGGGATGTAGCTCCATGGTGGAACATTAGCCTAGTATGTGCAAAGCCCTGAGTTCAATCTCCAGTACTGAGTCATCTATAGAAGTCAGGTAGAATGGGTAGTCTTCACAATGCCCAAGTGCAGCTTCCACTTCTCTCAAGTTCTCAATAAAGTCACACAGTAAACAGAAGATGATAAATTTATTTCTCTCCAAATCTTAAAATTAACAAATTCTAAGATAAGAAACATAAAATTATTAAAATAATGGATAGAGTCATATTAGAATAGTGGATACAGTCTAAGACAATATCTATATTGGTCAAGCTGAGAACTAAGAAAGTTGTTATTTTGTCTACAGTCAATAAAAACAGATGTTCTTTGGAGTCTCTAAAAGGATTAAATTGAAGTCGATTATGCTTGTTGCTGAAGGAGCCAGTCCAGTTGAGCAGTAAAATGCCACGATTCAAATGTCTACATAGAACAATGGAGTCCCCAAAGAGCTTTCTTCCAGTTCCTTTTGCTTTCCCCACAAAGGACACAGACACATCCAGCAGCAACATCATAGCAAATATCTCTATTGCTTCCAGATGAGAATGTCCACACTCTATAAATGACCAGAGAAGAACACCTGAAGAGAAATGGGGAATGTGTCCCAACATAGGATCTAAGGTGAGGGAAAGAAATTTTCCTTGTGTTTCTGAGGTGGAAGAGGACTGTGATGATGTTACTGGGCTATACCAATTCTGATGTTACACAGAGTACCCACTGGGTAGAATGAGATCCCTGGCTTTTGTGGGTCAGTGAGGCAGGATGGGCCAGGCCAGCACAAAGTCAGGGACCCACTCTTCTAGTGTTGGGTCCACTTGATGCTCTTGAGGTCAATGCCATCCTGTACCATCTCCCAGAGAGGACTGTCAAAGAGAAGAGGCATTCAGTGAGTAAGAACTTAGATAGGAAGAAGCCAACATTGGCTCTGAGGCCTTGAGCCATGACTTGCCTCCTGTTCTTGTCTCTCCTCTGCCTTTTGCTTGAGTGGATCTCAACACAGGTGGTCGATAAGGTCTTTCCCAGCTACTTACTATAAGTCTACCTCAAGTCTAGCCAACAAACAGTATTAACTAGGCACCTAAGGCTCAAAGGCAATTGAACCTTTAGTCAATGGACTTCAGATGTGGTCATATTCTTAAAGCTCTCCTCCCACATGTGAGAGGCTATAGGCTCCCAAGAACACCAACAGCCTCAGACCTGTATAAAAAGCAAGTTTCATCTTCTCTACTACAACTATCACAAATTGCCCACTTTTCAGCACTTGTTTCTGGGTTTTGATCTAGTTCTCGGTTCTCCTGGATGGAACTTGGCTCTAAATCATCTGAGCATGCAGTTCCATCAAATAGTTCTTGCCATTTTCACCTCCCCATATTGAACTTTTCTTCCAGAATTTCTGGCTCCAATCCAAAAGGACCTCTTGGGTTTTAGGCCCCAGCATCCCATCTCATATAAGAAATCTCTACTTAAAGTTCCGATCCCCTTCAGCATGAATGTCTTGCATGTTTCAGACCACCTATTACTTCAGTGTGGTATGACTATGTGAATGTTTTTGTATTTTCATGCTGGGCACTGAACCCAAGGTTTCACACATGCTAAACACTCTACCTACCACCAAGCTATACCTCTAGCACCAATTGTGAAATTCTGTGGTTTGGATTACCCAGCTATTTTTTTCTACCTGATTTAATTCTATTCTTGATTATCCTTCTCCTTTATATGATACATTCCCAGCATAACTTTCTATTTATAATATTTTCCTAGGCTTCTTAAAGGTAGCCATCATTTCCTTCCTGTCCCTAATAGGCTCACAACGTAAGGTTTTGGTTGAAAGCTAATGGGACTAGGCTAAATTCATTTTGTAAAGGGTCAGAAGCAATAAGGTACAGATACTGAAACCACATAGGAAAAATAAGGTATCACGGTCTTTGGCCAAAAGAAAAATCTTTTTTTTTTTTTTTTTTTGGTACTGGGGATTGAACTCAGGGGTACTCATCCAGTGAGCCATATCCCCAGCCCTATTTTGTATTTTATTTGGAGACAGGGTCTAAATGAGTTGCTTAGCGCCTCACTTTTGCTGGGGCCGGCTTTGAACTCTGGCTTTGAACTACTGAACCTGCCTCAGTCTCCCGAGCAGCTGGGATTACAGGCATGTACCACCGTGCCTGGCCAAAAGAAGAACCTAAGCATAAGAAACTTGAGCAACCAGCAGATGTTTAAGCAATACAGCTAGACCCTAGCAAGTAATATCCAGAGCACAGAAAGGCCAGGGAGAACTCAAAGGGAAGCAAGGTATACACAAGGGTTCCATGCCCAGTTCCTCAAAGAAACAAAAAATTTAAAAAAAATTCCTATCTTAAAAGGAATTTTCTCATATACTTAGCCTATAAGTCACTAACTTTGTACTGATATTGCTGCAACAATGTTTGCTAGTACTTTCAATAACAGTAATGAAAAATGCTACCTGTATTAATGTAGTTCTTCAATTTTTAAACCACTTTCTCATATTCTGAAAACAAGCAACCAAAGAGCTCTACTTTCTTACTTCATGGAAGCTCTAAATCCTAAAATCCAATTACTCTCAAACTGGTTTCTGGGGCTGGGTATATAACTCAGTTGGTAGAGTGGGTTCAATCCCCAACACCAAAAAAAAAAAAAAAAAAATCAAACTTTGGTTTCTGGCAGCGTGAACACATGAGGACAAAAGAGGAGCCTACACTACAGTTTATTCTAAGAGTTTCTGATACAATAGTGCATACCTCATTTCTCGAAGACGCTTCACATGCTGAATGCATTTCTCTGCAGTGTAGTCTACTTCCTCCTCTGTAGTAAAGCGGCCAATGCCAAACCTTAAGAAGGCAAAGGAGAAGAGCTTTGCATCAGAACTGGTACTGTGGTAAATTTACTTGGCCAGTACTCACCGAGAACCTAGTACACAAAAGACTTAGAAGAATATGGTCCTACCCCTATAGGTCAGAGTTTCTTAGAACATGGTCTGTGAATTTAATACATCAGAACCACCTCAGAAGAAGTTTCCTAATTCTCCTCCAGACCTAGTGAAGCCAAATACGAATGTGAGACTCAGAAACTGTCATCCTTCACAAATTTCCCAAGTGATGCTCAATGAAGTCTGAAAACCTCTGCCCCAGAAACTTTCCCAAAGAATCAAGAAGGAATAAGAAAGGGTTGGGAGTGGTAGTGTAGGTGCTTAGCAGGAACAAGGTTCTAAACCAACACCCAGCACCCCCCCCCAAAAAAAAAAAACAGAGAGAAAGAAAGAAGGGATAAGAAGAACCAGACAGAAAAAGACTGTATAACAGAAAATAAAAAATAAAGAGGATGTCTTTCATAAACATGGCAGCGCAACTCACAGACCTGATGGAAGAGTGTGCTAAATCCTCATCAGTGCCAATCGCTCTAAGGACATAAGAGGGCTCCAGGGATGCAGAGGTGCAAGCACTGAGGAAACAGACATGAACCTTGCTCAGATCATCATCAACATCTCTGTAAGCCACAAAACTCCAGTCTTACTTCCTCCCCCAGGGCCCTTCTGTCCCCATAGGGACAAAAGACCTAATCTGGCAGAGCTAAAGAGCCTAATGCTGCCTTACACATTTTAGGTTGTGAACCCAGCTCCTCTGGCTCCCATCATGGATAACATCCTTGAACAAGGACAGAGCCAAAGCATGATACCCCATGAAGTGAATCTGACAAAGAGAGGCAGCAAAGAACCTTGTACTCATTCTCCAAGGGAAGATAAATCCTTGGTGACCTTTAGAGTATCTTCAATTCTGGAGATCTGTAACAGAACTACTAGTGGAACTCTATATCAGACACACACATTCCCTAGAACCACAAAAATAGAGAATTCTCCTCCAGGAAGCTCTGCTAGGGTGATAAACTTTAGCTTGTACCCAGCCAAAAAATTACCTTTACCTTGAATCAAGAGCTCTTGCGCCTGTCTTTGCCATACCATGAAGCTTAGTAACGGT